TAGGTCTGAGGCCATCACTCTTGGGTTAGAGGCCATTGCTCTTCTGTTGGAAAAGTTTGGAAAGCTTTCATGGGCCCTGCTGGTTGTTGGAAATATTTGCTGGGCTGCCCGGCACACAGAAAGCGTTCGCCGTCACGGCGGGCCGAATGGCTGTAGACCGATGGGAACTCCTGGAACGGGTGGGAACTGGGTGCGGCGGGGCTAGCGGCTTGTGGAGATGTAAAACCTCTGTGGAGATCGATGCGATCTATGTCAAACAAAAGAGTTTAACGGGTCAACCGGGCCCCTCCCTTACAAACTGGTGAGAAGTTCCAATCAATCGGAACCATTATCCCTCTTGCTCAGACAAATCATTCCACCAAACTTCCTAAGGACCATGGCTGTTTCATGCTGTTTGCGTAGTAGCATGGCAGCATCCAAACCTTAATGAGCCATTGAGAAATATCACGGCCAATTGAGCAAGTCAGGAACACAAGGCCTGAGCAATGATCGTGTGCATCAGGAGTCGCCTGGGATGTGTGCCATTGGGCGGCCTTCCGAGCGAATCACTTGATACAAACTTCCCACATGCTTCCAGAATCTTCCGGCCGAAAAGCACCTCTGTGGAAAAATGCCGACCACATACCTGTTTTTATTGCCATCACCATCGAAACCGTTCATCGACTAGCTTTTGTATCCCAGCCACTAAGAGGGTGAAGCGGATAGCGCCAAGAACTGCAATATAGCACAACCAACCCCAGCGTTTCAATAATGACCCTTTCAAAATCCTGCAGGGATGTGAACCCCACACATTTGAGCCGAAAACGGTAGCCGCCGGGGAAAGGGGTGAGAATAGGGGGAGCTTGAAGCGGGTAGGCGATGACAGTTTGGGCTTGGACGTTCTCCTTGAATCGATGAGAGGTCTGCATCGGCCAAGGCTCTGAAAGGCATTCTCCATTGGGATCTCCAAAGGACTGTCTGTGGTCGACCTGGGCCATCAAGATGTCAGGTCTCTAACAGGTGAACAATGTGGCTTCACTCCTTACAGTGACTAAGTGGACCTGTCCTCCGGCACAGGTGCGTGGTCAGGTTGTTTGTTTTGCCACTGGATTTGATTTAGGCGTCAGAAAGGTGCAGCATGCATCTATTGCGAATGACTTGGAGTATACAAAACGTCTAGCAGCCTCCCAACCCGCCGATGCTCACACCATTTGACCCCAATCCCTCTGCAAGGCAACTCTTCAAAGAAGTGGGTCCGCAATAATCCCAAGCGGCTTGAGGGTGTTCCCACATGTTCCTCGTACCGACAAAGGTTTTTTCTGGACCCCACAGTTTACTTGACGGTTGCGGGACGGTCAGTGCTGCATACTCTTGCTTGGCTCTAGCTTATTGCTTACTTGCGGTAGTTCTTCTCTGGGTACTGTACAGTCAGACTAGTGAACCTGGCAAAACCCTGAGACTACAAGGCTGTATCAAAGCCAAACCATCGAGATTTCTGCAGTTGACCCAACACGCCAAGCGAATTCGTCGCCCAACTGGCCAAGCAGCTCAAGCCACTCGCGCACTTGCCGGCGGCAAGAGTCGATCACCGCACGATCGGCCCCTGCGGTTGTTTTGATGACACACACGGAAACCGCAAGATGAGTACCAAATGTTGTCCCTGATTTCATCTTGGAGATCATTGAGACTCAAATTGAGACCCTTGGTCTTTCAAAATGATGTTCAGCTGATTGCGAAATGCTGTGCAGGGCATTTGATGGTTGATACCTGGAACTGCTCCCTATACCTCCCGGACCTTGCAGTGTCAATAGTGCAAGTTGAATAGATTAACACTTGGGGGGTGCCGGATTCCTTTTGTAGTAAGTCAAGCGAAAAGAACACTCACAATGATCACAATGAAACAAAAAAATCAACCAACACGGTCTTTCCTTTCATGCAACTTTCAAATTGAATGCTACAGGCAACCTTGTTTTCTGGATACCCTGTTCCACACGCAAAAATCCCTCAGACCCTTTTCTAGGGTTTAGTAAGGGTCGCATTGTAGACTAAAGAGCAAACAAATGCCAACAAAAACAAGCAACAAGAACTAGCAAGAACGAACATGCACTCACCAAATAACCGCTGAACAAAACCAAGAGAATTTCAGACTGTTTGCAACTCAAATCTTCCTTGGTCCAAGTTGCCCTCTGGGATCTCCAATGCCGGCTGCTCCTCCGTCCCCTGGGAAGGAGGTGGAGCAGCGCACTGGGCCGCACGCTGCAGGCGTGTGACTTCGTCGATGCGCTGTTGGATGCTACGGCGCTTCTCCTGGCTGAAGTCGCTGGCTGGCACAATGGCACATGGATCCCCGTCGTCTCACATCACGGACAAATGGACAAGACTAGAACTAGAACACCCGGCCCTGTAAATCTGAAGTGCATTTTTACATATAAAAATCCTGCCTATTATATAGTTATATACTATTATAGTCCATCAAAAGAACTTGGGGAGATCTTAGAGTCATGCTTTCAGAGATTTCCTCTTTGGAGGGACGACTGACCTCCTCCTCTGCCGGGCGGAGCCACCCCAAGCCATACCTGCGGCCGACACTTCCGAGCACATTTTTGGCCCATCGACCAGAAGCCATCCCCCGAGGAAGAGGTAGCTCTTCTTGGGGATGACAAACCTACGATATCCTAGGTTTGCTTGTTTCGACTGAATCCAACTGAATCCAAAAGAGCTCCAGTCCAAGAAAAGGTCTGGGACTCATGTACTTCATTGTTGGGGAGATGAGCTAGATGTCCAACAAGCATGACCCTCAAGCCTATGACCCCTATCTGAAGCAGGGACCCAAACAAAAAGAAGAATGGGCTAAAAAAATACTTCCTGCAGAATGCCACTGAGTTTGGTTCCAGATCTTCTGGTGTTCGCCTCACCCAGTCGTTGAAGTTAAAGCCATTCTCATCCAGGAAGACCATCGTGGCAGCCTCGGCCAGTCGGACCGAACCCTATCGGGTGACGCAGGTTCCTTCATGACTCTAACTTGTCGCCCTTTTGACGTTTTCTTTTTGCTTTTTTTAATGCTTGTTGGATCTTGTTGGCAACCTCAAAGCATGTGCACAAGCCCCAAAGGTTCCACAACGTTTCCGCCGCTTTCAAAACACTTGAAGATGCCCAGTCCACAATTTCGTGAAACCACCCTCCTGTGCAGAAAAAGTTCCACCCTCCTGTGCCCTGACACTGCCGAGCTGCTGAGACTGAGAAGTGGTGCTCCTTGGCCGATCGCCCCCCAGTTGCGAATATCCACGACCATTGTCTTGAAACACCTTGAAACCCTTGAACCATTCACTTAGAAGATAACACAGCCGCTTCTCCAGTTCCAAGTGCAGCTACCAGGCTGTAGCCTGACACTGTGATCATTGGGTTGATCTGGGTCAAGTCAACTGACTTTACTGCCATGCTGAGCGTTGGTTGGGGCTCACAGGAATCAACGGTAAGACAAGGATGAGACTGATAAAACATGTCTTGATTGTGGTCTCCGAATAGATAGGAAATCGACCCTCCAATGGGCATATGACACCATCCGTGCATCGCAAGTTGCAGCATCAAAAGTAGATTTATTAAGTGGTCGGTGCTTACGGAATTTACTTCCTCAGTGGTCTTAAATCCAAGTAAGAAGCTATTATTACTTCAGTATGAGTTCCAGAATTGACTCCAGTGCTTCCCTCCCTCACACTGCTATCATTGGGTGCCCGCGCTGCTTTCTTGGGGAAGACATACAACGAGACCGGCGAGAGGATCCAATGTGAGGAAGCCCTCAGGCGTGGCAGGGCTCCAAGGAATGTAAAAAGTGTCTCTGCTATTCTGCTATGCTGAGGCTGTTGATGTCACTTCCACTCAGACTGGGCATCCGGAAGGGTTACTATGGAAAAGCACCAGATCTCTTCAAAGCCCTTTTTAAAGAGTGAGCCATGTGGTGTGGGCAAAACAAGGCTAGACCTTTTCACTGGGGATGGAGAGAACCACTCAAAGTTTAACAGTTGAACTTGTGCTTTCTTTGCACACATTACTCTGGTACTACCATTGCAAAGCGTTTAATTTTGGTATGACTTTATCGGTGCTGGCACTGCGAGGCGTTGCAACTATTTTATGTGATCACGGAAATCCTGCTCCATGCGTTGGTCCGAAGATGTCCACGCAAAGCGCTATGGTGCGAAATTGACACATCTGAGCTATGCTGAAAAGGTCTTGGACTTCGCGCCTATCCCTACCACAAACTAAGATGCTTTTCTTGAAGCAAGAAAGACAGTTTGATACAATATATCGGAGTTACATGTCTTTTCTTTCTTCGTTTCTACTTCTTTAGACAATTCTTTCTTGGTTTGTTTCTTTGCTCGATTCCCAGAAAGCCTCAAGGCTTTGGCCGTGGACGTCCTTTTAACAGGACGCTTTGCTCCAACCGAATAGCGTCCTTGCTTACTCAACTGCAGCGCTCGGTCTTCTCTCATCTTCTCTCCCCCTGAGTCGATGGCCCTGAGCTCTTCTGCGGGTCGCGCCGCGCTGCACAAAGCCCAACCTGCCAGATGTTGCTGAGTCTTGGCATTCCACAAACTATATAATTCTGTTAGTAGATTTAAGTGAGAACTTAGGTTCTTTCTAGATTTGCCACATATTCTTTCTAGATTTTAGGTTCTCGCAATGGCTGAGAGCTCGTAACCTGCCAACACTTGGCACATCCCGTCACCATCAGCCTGAACTGGCAAGAAGGTCTGTGCGCCCTCGCGATGTGCCGTGTAGCAGCGCTCCACGCCGATGAAACGCTCGTTCTTTACCTTGGAAGCAAAGGACGGATAGACACAGCTCCCATGTCTTCCCATTTTCTCGACATAACTCTACCATAGACATAGGGGATTCGAACCATGGCTCTCTAAGATCCCTCTCAGCGAATCTTTGAAGGAACAGTTTTCTCATCAGAGATAAATCCTTCGTGGTTGTGGGCGTCCTCATCGTTGGAGAAAAGCGACTCCGACAAACCGAGGCATCAATAAGCACCTCTGTCTCTGGACCTGAGAGTAGTTTCCAGTCCCCGTTTGGACCCTGGACGCCATCTGCCAAGGAGACATGGAGTCCGGTCAGCTCCAAGTCGAAGGCCACGAATTCCGCCTGGCGGACCTCCTCCAAGACCTCGCTGGGGCTCATGGCTGAGGGAATGACGCTCAAGAGAGGGAGAGAGGGATGTTCAGGGAGCAAAGCGGAGCAAAGCAGCAAGCAAGGGAGTGACATGGAACGTAGAGCTTGGGACAATGCTTCTTGCTTCGGAGTTTCTGAGTTTTAGATAGTTTACATTAGATGTTTGTCGAATGATTCAAGGGCATGCAGAATACTTGGAACCAAAGATATTGTGTTTTTTTATGTTTTAAGTTCTATTCAACACACACACAAAAATAATATATAACAAATTAGTCGGAGGTTCGGCCTTCAAGAAAGTCTCACTGAAACATGCCTATATATTCGTATCTATTCGTTTGGTACCTGTCGCCTTCGCCGAAGCGGCCGACTAGGACAGCACCAAAGTGCCTTGAAACTTCAAATTAAGCGGTTCCCGGAAAAGCCAGGAATCATAGCGACCCTTCTTCTGTCCTATTTTTATTTTGACCTTTGGACCTTACCAATTTCGTCTAATTTCTGCACCTCCGGAGCAACTCCCACTTGCGATGCACCTTCTTATTCACCTCCTGCCAATTCCGTTGGCTCACCGTCAGCCGGAGAAGGGCTCTCCTCATGCCTGGAGTCGAGATTGGGGAAACCTCACCTGAGGCAAAGAGGTAGGGAAATTGTGGCCAGTTGCTTTGCACGAACAGTGCACTTGCTTTGCACTTAGGAAAAAGCTCGCGACTGTTCGTTGCAGATCAGTGTCGGATGTCCACAACTGCAAAGTTCAAAGCAACTGTTTCGGACCAAGTTGCAGGGCGACGGGCATGGCCCAAAGAAAGCACCCGAAGAAGGACCCGCACACGGCCCTCTTTGCAGTTTGTGCTTCCAATGTTTTGATGATCTTTTCTAGCTTCTGCGGATAGTCCTGAAGAGGGAAGCCGAGGTTTGGAGAGGGGCTACTTGGGCTAAGGGTTCAATTGCTTTCGACAAAAAGCTCATGTTAAACAAAAGCTACCAATCTGGCTTTGCTGGCTGTTCTGCAGCACATTGACAAAGTTCTGGGTTTGACCAAACTATCTGCTGCTGCGCGCTAGTTTGTGTTTCGATCAGTGGGCTCACTCCCAAGCTACATGTTGGCTCATTTGAGCGGGTTGGTGTGAAGCAAGCTTGGGCAGAAACACATGCCAGGACGAAAACGCAAACAGGTTCCCTGCAAAGTTGGCCCTGGATTTCTGTTTGCAACTGACAAACCAACCACCGGACAAACAAAGACAGAGCTGATGCAGCCCACTTCTCAACAACAGCACCCATATAAGACTTCATGTGACTGAACAATCATGAGAACTTTAGCTGCAAACTAGGAAAACTGCGGTGTCCGGATCGCCAAGGGCGAAACTAACTTCACTAACACTCCAACTTTGGTCTCTCTTTAATAAACTGGGCTGAAGCGGCCGTATACGAGTCCACTGCTAATTGGCCCAAGATGTTTCACCCAACGCTCATAATACCCTATGCATCCGGCATTGCCGGGCTTCCTGGCTTTCTTATACTGGTAGTTTTCGTGCAGTGGACCATCCACTTCCATAACCTCTACACTCGGAACACTACAGGATATTGAACTCTTAGAAAGCCAAACAAACAAACGGTTAGAAGAGATGGAGTCGTCCCAAGAGCAAGACATAGGCATCAAAGCCAAACCATTTCCACCGCAATACACAAATGCCATGTTATGGCCCCTCTGCCAAATGTCGGTCGTGCCTCCAGTGGCCTCGGCCAGGAGACATGAGGTATCGGGTGCGAGGATCACTCCAAACAACTGAGGATTCGACACATTCAGCTTGCCTAGCCCGTTCTTGGAGTTGTGGCGATGAGTGTATACCCCTCCGTGCGTGATGTGGCAAACACCGCAGGGCAAAAGTATTGAAGATGCAAGGCATTTTCGTGAAGGGCAGGGACGTGCTGAGCTATGATTCCTGCAGATCTAAGGAAGGGTGGCGGGTTCATCCCGCGAGAGTTCATCCCGCGAGAAATGAAACTACACTCGCACGTCACCAGTGGGTCATCCAGTGGCTCAAGGCGGTAGCTCTCCATCAAGCCAAACATCTCGCAAAGAAAACCTACCAAATGGCGATGGCCTCCAACCCAGCAGCGAAGAAAACCTACCAAGCTTCACCCCTCAAAAGTGCACCCATCACGTGTTCCCAACAGGCTGCGCAGTGCACTGCGCAGTGCAATTTTTTTCAGCGCAGGGGTCCTTCGGCCAAGATCTCGCGCACACGGCTCACGAGATGGGCCACCATAGTAATGCGGTCTCGCTTGAGCTGATCCAAGTTCACCTCAATCGGTTTAAGGTCGGTTGAATTCGGATTCTTTCTAGAACTGATCAGACTCAAACCCAGACTATGTCTTGGTTCCAACTCTTTTGTGGCTTTCCAGCCAGGGAAATTCTAGAGTGAATACACATGTGATCACATGTGTCTGACTAGGGGACTAGGACCGGCTGGAATGGACCGGAACGGACGTTGATAAGTTCTTATCCTACTTTCCCAAACCAAGCGGCTGAAGCATCACCGAGGGCTGCAGCTAAGGGTGATGCACCATGCTCCAACCTGGAACTCTGCCCGATCTGATACGCATGTCGGATACAAGTGAATACCAAAAAGTGGAATGGCTAGTCGTGGAGGCAATTTTTGCTTGCAACAGTCTTCAGAAGGGCTGGTTTCGTGAGACCACATACCTAAATCAATCAGGCTGTTTGTGACTCGAGGACAAACTGTATCTGTGTCCCTTTCTTTGTGTTTCCTATGTCTTCTCTGTGGCATGTGCCCACAACGCATGGAATTATTAGTTCAAGTTCAAAGAAGAGCGAAAGCAAACACAGACATGAGCTGCTGGAATGCTAAGACTGAAATGCACTGATCCAGTACCTCAGAAATCGCACAAGCGGAATTCTTGCCGTGCAGTGCCGAGCCACATCTTTAACTCCGCGTCAATCTGCTTGGAGATAGTTGCCAACCTCGCCTGAGCGAGCAGCGAATGGATCAGACGCAACCTTAAAGTCACGTTGAAGAAAGGTCTGGCGAAACAGCCGCGAACAGGTTACAGTATCTCCGTCTCCGTATCAACATTTCCAAGTATTGAAACGCTGAAAGCCGAGTGTCAAAACACTCGCTTGGCTGAACATCCTGTCCCAAAACGCTTCGACCCATCTCAACCTGATCAAGCTTCTTTCCTCAAGCTTAAGGGTCTTTCAAACGGGTGATGCCGTCTGTATTGTGCCTCCAAATCCAGGTGCTTCCCGGATCCAGGCCGCAAGGCTTGCCGAAGGATCTCCGCCTAGGCAAAGGCCACGCTTGAAATCTCTGTTGATCGTGCTGTGAATCGCTTTTGAGTAGAACATGGTGGAACCGTGGGATCTGTATCTAGAGTCGAAAGTTGATGGACATATGCACAAAAACAAGGTCTCTTTGCACTTTCAATTAGGTGAGTTGAATGCTGTCGGAGGAACCGTATGAGTAAGTGAGCGGTTTTGGCACTTTCAGACCCCAACCTTGGAGGGTGGGTGACTTCCGTGATCATTTTCCGAAAACAGAAAGCGGAGAAAACACGCTTCCCAAAGGATACAGCTTCAATGACGAACTTGGGTCCTTTGAAGTGCTATGAGAAACTTTTGAGAAGGCCCACTGGCAACTGCTCATCTCCCATGACGGTAGGGAGGCTCCTGTTGGCCGGCGTCGCCCGTGCCCCGCCTGTGGGAGCTTCGAGAGGGCCACCAACCGACAAATGTTCAAAGCGGCTGTGAGGGTGTCCATGGCATCGGTGATCCTCGGGTTGCTCAAATATCAGCAAAACCTCTACACCAAAGTTCAGTGGACAATCATCTGCAGACCCTTGGGTTTTCAATCAGTTTCTGGCCACGACCGTCTTAGGATGTCTTAGGCTTCACTTCTTCACCTCTATCTGGGAGAGCAAGGGTGGTGAGTAGACAAGGTAACCGAAGGTAACCCTAGTTCCGCCCTTCACATGATGAATTGGATCCTAATCCTCAGAGAGGGCTTGCATGCCAAATCCCAACGTGTGACGCGTGCTCCGGGGAAACAGCATAACATCCTGGTGAAAAGTATCTCTTGAGGGCCTTATTGTCTGCGGTCATCCGGTTCACCACCAACCGCTTTAAGAACACGCAAAAGCCAGCACCAGGCAAGGAGAGAAAGCTCCAACTCGAGACTGAAATGGCCCATTTGATCGCTCCAAGCAACTGTACCTCACCTGACAGCGTGGCCTCCAGGACCTGTTGGATCAAGGAGAAAACTAGGGGGGTTGCACATGAAGGGTTACTAAATGGGTGACCTGCAAAGCGTCTTGAAAGCTTGTGAGAATTCGTTTTGTTTTTTTTACTTTCCATAGAGGCACGGCACGACGACAGCCCGGGTGGGAGGAGGAAACGGCTTGACAGGAGGGATTCATCGGCACTCGTCAGGCCTTCAGTAGCTGCAGCCGCAAGTCACCCAAGTCGTCTGTACGGGCAAGCACCTCTTTCCACCAATCATCCTGTTTTGGCAAGCGAAGAGCAATGCAGGAATGCACAGTCGGTCTTTGCCGGTCCATTAATCATGAATCATGATGGACATACAGGAATACCGGAATATCCGGAGAGTGCAGGATAATTATCCCCCTCCCCCAATTTGCAGCCAATATCACAAGATGCAAGGCTTGCGACTAGTCTTGTGACCAAGCGTGGCTGCTCGGGGTCATCCCAATGGCACTTGGACTTGCTCAGGAATTGAGCGACTGTTGGCCAGGAGGATGCCAGTTGGCGGGGATTACGTCAACTGAACTATACTTATATACTTAACATATCTTAACATTGGAATTCTCTCTTGGCTGTAGTTCAAGCTCACACGAAGCAACGACTCTGAAAAAAAGATTGACCGCGACCCCACTGCCAACTCTTAGCTGGCATGCAATGCATTGATGCCCTCTCTTGAGATATCAGGCCGAAAGCCTGCTGACCACCCTGTCTTTGACCTCCAAGCGGATTTCTAGCCACACACCATGCAGCCATCCTTTCCCATCCCTCCTTGAAGAGTGTTACCACGCTGCCGATCACCGCATCCACTCGACTGCCCTGGATGATCTCCTCGCCATGGGTGGAAAGTGCCAGAGAGACTGGGAAGGTCGTCTCAGGGAGAAATGATCTACCTCCATGAGAAACACCAAAAGGAACATGATCTACCTCCACTGCAGGGCCTTTGTCGGTTTCACGTTCGCTTTCGATGCTTCAACCAAGAGCAATCGCTCCGCATTGTCGTTGCCAGGTGATGTTCTGGTTACAGGTCTTCTGCCTTTTTCCCCAAAAGCTTTCAAACCTGAAGACCACATCTTCCCCACGCGCTCCAGATAGAGCTCACAGCGACATGTCCAAGTGAAGGCCCTCATCGCTGCCGAGCAAGCACCAAAGAGCTGGCCCCGAGCCTGGAGGGAGGCTGGACCAAACCAAAGGAACCAAAAAAAGCAAACCACCAGGCCCGGCATCACACTAGGTATTTCCCAGCTGGGTATTACCCAGGTTACCATGGAAACCAATGCTTTCACTGGCATCTGATGGAAGTAGGGTATGTCAGGATCTGCAAAGTAGCAAATGTGAACACTACTCGGTGAGAGTACTATATAGTCATGAGACTCATCAACTCACAATGGTTGGTTGAGACTTTCAGAAATTAAGCCATCATACAACGTCCCATCCTGCCTTTGACAATCAAGGTGTTGGCCAACATAAACCGATTTTCTCCAGTCCTTTGGCTAGGAACAACCCGATCCCAACGAACTCGGCATCCCTCAGGTCCTAGAGAAATCAGTTCAAGACTGCCTTCTCTAATTGCTTGTCCGGAAGCTGGTAACAAGTAGACAACACTGAAAACATCAGTCTGTTTGCTGGAACTCCCTCTATCTTCCATCACAAAAAACTAAACCTCCTGGGTCCGGGCTCCTTCCTAGCTGTCGATTTTGTTTCCCAACAAATTAAATAATCTGCCTTTTGTTCAATGTCTTCCTGCCTTTTGTTCGATGTCTTCCGTTGAGGTCAAGCTGTCCAAGACTCTTCCTCGGATAACGGCTTGCAAGTCTTCAAAAAAAATGCAGTGCAATGAGCCTGCAATAGCCTGCATCACAATGACATGTTATTGCTTGGTTGAAAGATCTGGACCGGCTGAGGCGAATCTGGTCTCTGTCCAGTCTCGAAAGAGCAAGTTGGGATACCAGCGGCAGCTAGCACCTCAGAAGCTTCAAATGTGCTACCCAAGTCGTGGTCAATGGGAGGGCGTCAATAGGTTTGGCTGTTGAGCTAAGGCTTTGTTAAGCTTAAGCTTAACATGGAAGTGGGTGTTGGTCCTCGCTGTGAGAACCCTACACAGCAAGTGAACATTCCTAACCATATCTGCATGATTGTTTGATGTTGCAACCACTCGAGCTCAAACCAGTTTTGTCATCTCGGCCTTAAGCTGCAAGTTTGAGATGATCCTCTGGTGGGCCAATCTTTGGTGACGTGCAAGAGTTTACACAGTCTCAACATGTCTCAACCAGTGGGAGGGCCTCAAGGCTCTATGGTTTCGTTCCAGTGGTTTCGTTCCAGTGGACGTGTCAATCTGTTGTCGAAAAACCTGTTCCAACGCGACAATAGCAGCTTGTCAAAACACACCGTTAAGTTGCAAACTCCCACCAATCTTTGGTTCTTGCGAAATTCCTGTTGGCTGACCACAAAATCTCAACGACTCCTGCGTGACCATCAGCCAACTTGACGGTGGATGTCTGTCCCCTGATTTAGCCAACCAATTATTGATTTGAGGCCCTATTTTGCAGATTGTTTGCACGGACACCTCCCGCTTGTTCTGCCGGCTTCGGCCCGTTGCAGCTTGGAGCGCTCCTCAATTCGCTCAGTTTGGCATCTTTCAGCAGTGCGATTGACGAGGCAAAAAGCCGCAAGCCACGCTGTGCCCAGCAGGGATTGCTCTGCGCACTAGGAAGCACCTAACGCTGGCACTGATGCGTTGCTTGTCATAGACAGTTGGTCCAGAAAACCATCTGTTAAGGCTGGAGGTCGAGGGCCTCAGGTCCCCATGCCGTATGTGTATGTCATATCTGCAGGATGCAATAGAAATGGCCTACTTGATGCATTAAAAGGACCTGAAACCCGTTTCATATGTGTGTCCCAATTTGTGAATCTCTACCAAACTGCACGACGCTTGCGGGGCAAACAGTTTCTAAGGATATGAAAGCGAAGGCCCAGAAATCCCCTCCAAGGCTGGAAACAACAAAACAAAAGAGCAAAAAAGGGCTCACCAGAAAAAGAGAACTCTAAGAATGGACTCAGAACCAAACTGAAACAAATTCCACCAGCCCCGGTTTAGGACGATGAACACTGTTCAACAGCACCTACCTTCGGGGTTGAGCAAAACATGGCCTCACACTCTTTCGGCGTTGACTGTGCCTCTTTGTGTCAAACCGGTGTGGACTCGTGGACCCTTCGTCATCGAGGCCCCGGACCTGTGGATCGTCTAAAGACTTCAAATCCCCCAGGTTCACCACATTCCTGGAGCAGGAGTGAAGGACATGTGAACGCATATTGAGATCCACGGATTTCCACTTGCAAGCATAATCTCAAGTTATACATCTCATATCATCTCATCATACCTCACTTCTTTGACTCAGCTTATGCCATCTATCTCCAACCACATTGTATGATGTGTGATGTTGTGGGAAGGAAACACTCTTCAGCAAAGAACAGCCACATCGTTCTCCCCTTGCGAAGTGCTGGAGAACCTGCGAAGAATGGATGTGCCTGAACCTTCCAACAGTGACCTGAAATGACTCCAAGAAATCATTTGTTCCACATGTCGTACACCATAAGGCGGCAACTACTGCATCTCAACATATTATCATATCTCAACAGTCTAAACAGCTAAAGAAAGCCGCAGGGCCAGTGAGAGCATTCAAAGCTCTTTATTCCACGTCATTCCCCAAATCTTCAAAGCTCTTTCCGAGACTCGGCGCCAGCTCTGCGTTCGACAGCAGCACATAGCTACTGCGCAGCAGGATGTTGGCGCGCCGCAAACGGGAGATGCACAAGGGCAAGCCATGAGGAAGCATCTTTTCAGGCGCCTGGCAGAAGTCTAAAGCTGTTCATGAAAGGCGCCGAAGTCCATGCTCCCGAAGTGGGGAATGAAAGCTGTGTAGGATTTCAACCAGTTGCAGTATTTGGAATCCTTTGAAGAGGTATAACTAAGTATAACTGTTATGAGAGTCATGCAGAGTGGAAAGTCTATGGGTCAACCTGCAAGCGATGGCGCGCGTCTATAATGGACTTGCAAGAGCAATACCGGATTTGAAGGTGCAGCTATTTCAAGCATTGTATCTGGCCGATGTTACCATAGTTTTCATATGTTTCATGTAACCTAGCACACCTGGCTAAATGCCAACATATGCCACATGACTAAGTTGCGAACCTTGATAGGTAACTTCGACCGCCTGTATTGTTGCAAACAGGGAGAGCCAAATCACCATATCTCGATGTCTTTTCCGAAGTGAGCTCATGACTCATGAGATCTCATGAGCTCTGTTCAGTGCCTGGTCGGCCAAGAGGACGAAAATCGCTAAAGATAGGGGAGACGTTTCCAGATCACCGCCACCATCCCCTTGGAGCAGCGGTCAAACGAGGCGACAGACCTTCATTCACTCGTCTGTAGAGGACTTGACTGCATTTTGGAGGTTACAAGTATTTTGGGGCAGTGACTGGAAGGACTGTCTGCTGTCTGATTGATTCAATTGACTTCGATCATTGAACCAAACGGGAAACCGGTCCGAATTCAGTGCCATTGCTGTTGCGTCTCATTGATGTTTCCTGTTCAACTTAGCGATGTCATCAGGTTGCCGTGTGGCTTTGGCTGCGCGCCTTGCGGATCACCCATGTCGATCTCCTCCAGCAATGCAACCATCGGCCGGGGAGAGCTCATGGCTGCTGCGCGGCCCAGCTCACCTGAGAGTTTGCGCTGGAGGGGTTGTGGAAGAGTTTTACGTGAATTGCTTGAAGTTAAAATAAGAAAAAGGACGGACGGCGGGCCTTACCTTTCTTTCTTCTACTCATTCCAGTGAGACTTTCAACGAGAATTTTGACGTTGGTATTTTTTAGAAAAAATGAAACGCGTACATATCATGGTTTGGTGAAATGAAAACGTGCAACATGCAAATTGCGCAGGCTGGTGGATGTAGCTGTACACTGTAGATGTGCGTAATATCATATGCAGAGCTTTGTGCAGAATGTATATATGGGTAGGGGTAGGGCAGGTGGCAAGTGTTTAGTTGGAGCATACTTCCCCGGAGACAGCTAGCAAAGAGAGAGATCCAATTACAAAGCGCAACTTACACTTCCTAGAAGAGGAGACTCCACCTCCTGATGACTCCAGGCAGCTAGCAATGCAAATCCAAGCTTAGCAAAGTAGGAAACAGAGAATGCTTTCAACTGTACAACGCTTTGTTATGGTGTTCACATTCAGTTCAGCGCAGTGTTTGAGCAATGTTCAATTGACCGTTACCTTCTGGTGGTATGAATGCATATACATATACATGCTCCCAATCTAAACGCTCCCAATCTGCTGCAAAAGACCGTGTTGCTTTTTTTGCCCCTAGGCCAGTCGGTCATTTGCAAGGCCTGACCTGCATAGTTTCTGCAGCGCCACCCGCCCTCAAACCGCATAGGTTACAGGCACTGACAGATGTCATTCAGTCACAGCCTTCAGGTCATGTCCGACCGCCACTGTCACAACTGTGCACCAACCTTTTCCAGAAACCTGTAAACAAGAACTCATGGCAACTGGCAACTCACTGACAGCTGAAACACACCGATATATTGTAAAAGGTAGTTGCTTGTTCAACGATATATAAAAACAATTAGGAAACAGACATCTTTATTTCTTGGTCCTCCTCTTTGGAGTAGCCTTTGGCTTTGGTTTCGATTTGGCCTTAGGCTTAGGAGACGGCTTTGCTGTTGCTCTGGCCGCCTGAGTAGATTTCGCCGAATGAAAATTGGATGCACGATTCGTCGCGCTTGCTTTGGCTTTCACCTTCGGCGAAGCTGATGCAGAGGGATTAGTTCTACCTCTACCAAAATTAACGTCACTGTTGACCATGCCATTGGAATTCTTTTTCTCCATTTGTGTAGGCGTTGTCCCTGAAGTAGTCACACATGCTTCCTGATGTACACACCCAATTTTTTCCTTAAATAATTCTAGTTCTAGCTCAAGTTTTCATAACTGTTCATTGATTAACAACTTCAACCCAAATACAAGCTCAAACTTCTCAGGCTCAATGTTCAGACTCAAACTTAAGGAACAACAAAGAACACTAGTAAATCCTGTCCTGATCATCGGCTGCGGTTTTGGCTTCGGCTTCGTCATATAACTCATCATCACCCATCGCATCCATCATGGCCTCAAGCTCTTGCTCAAGAGACAAGCTGGAAGCCAGTGAACTTGATGCCAACGCAGGATTTGCTGGAGTTGAGCTGGGCATGCACGATCTCTTTGTAGCCACGGGTGCCTGTGACATCTAGGTTCCAAAATTAGATACAAACACATGCATTTCCCAGATGTGCCTGGTGAAAATATTCACTAGTGTTTTTGTTCGTCAAATGCCTCCCTGTCAAAGGCATCCCCACCAAGCAGCAACATGAAAACAAACAATAAGAATATCAAAACAATTAATAACACAATCAAGCTGCGGGTTCAGATGGTACATCAGATAGATTGGCGGCATTGGATATGTTCTTCCTGTCGGAGGATTGGGGTGTTGTTTGTAGTGATTGGAGGTGTTTCTTTCTAGCCAAATCAGCTTTTGCTGCAAGTGTTTCTGCTGATTCTGCAGTGGCTGTTGATGGCAGTACTGCAGTCTTCAACCGCTTTGCATCCTGGTACGTTGCTGGGTCAAAGAAAGCTCTTTTTGTGTCGGATCTTAGTGTTGGAACATCTGGCAATCTTCCCATCTTCTCAGGAGGTGGCAATGTCACTGTTTTGCCGTGGTATGTGGAAGGGTCAAAAAACCCATGTGTTGGTGACAAAGTGATGTTTGTTGCTGATGTTGGGTTGTCTTCGTTGTGTGTGTCAAGCAGAGTTGCTGCTGCTGCTGCTGCTGCTGCTGTAGAACTCTGTGTTTCATTTGTAGCTTCTCCATTGGAGGTAGATTGATGTTGCTGGCTTGGAACTTCTTGAGACGGTGTATCTGAAGCTGTAGCTGCTGGCACTTCTTCTGCTGGCGGTGGTCCAGAGATGATGGTTGGTGCCTCTGCTGTAGCTGCTGTCAGTGTTGCTGGTTCAGAGTTGTTCCCAGTCTGAGTCATCACTGCTGCAGCTGTGGTTGTGGTTGGTGGTGGTGCTTTTGCCTTGTTTGCTTTTGCTGCTGACTCTGCTTCTGCTGGTTGCTCTTCATCACCTGATGCTGCTTCCGGTGTATCCGCCTCCTGAATCATTTTTTTCCAGCCTCTTGGAAAAGAGGCCGTCCTGGTGTTGCTGCAGTGTCAGCCGAGTCAGCTGTTGTTGCGGTAGTGTCTCTGCTGGCACTGGCTCTGCTGGTTCTGCCCTTGTTGTCGCTGCTGCACTCGCTGGTGGTGAAGGAGCTATGGTCAGTTCCATAGCTGCTGGCTCTTCTGCTGATAGTGGTCCAGAGACTGCTGGTGGTCCAGAGAGAATGGTTGGTGCCTCTGCTGTGGTTGTTGCTGTAGCTGCTGGCACTGTTGCTGCTGGTGGACCAAAGAATGCTGGTGTCTCTGGTTCTGGTGATGATGTTGTGGTTGGTGCTGCAGCTGCTGACAATTCCGCTTCTGGTGGTTCAGAGTTGTTCCCACTCTCAGTCATTGCTGCTGCAGCTGTTGGTGAAGTCACTCTGGTTGCACTTGGTGCTGTAGCTGCTGACACTTCCACTGCTTCTGATTCTGGTCCTGGGTTTGTTGCTGCTGCTGCTGCTGCAACTTCCAGTGATGAAGGCGCTGTGGTCGGTGCCTCTGCTATCACTGCTGCTGGCACTTCCGCCGTTGGTGCCGCTGCTTCAGCTGCTTCTCCATTGGAAGAATATTGTTGCTGCTTTGGAATGTCTTGAGGAGGCTGTGCAACTGAAGTTGTAGCTGCTGGCACTGTTGCCGGTGTTTGTGTGTTGCCGGCATCTGTTGCCGGTGTTTGTGTGTTGCCGGCATGGTGATTTGCAAGTGATGTTTGCTGTGACAAAGAAGGAACACCTAATGGCTTCGCTGCTTGCTCTGCTGTCTGCTTTGGTTCATGTTGCTCAGGCTGTGCTGGATGCATTTCACTGGTCCTTGCAGTTGCTGCTTCTGACATTGATGATGTATTTGTTGGTGGCTGCTCGTTTGTTTTGTCGGACAAGTCTGCTTGATCTGGAACTCGTTGACCAGCAGTTGTTGGGTTGTGTTGTCCTGCTGCTTGTTTTGGCAAAGACGGAACGTCTACTGCCTGCACTGCTGCTTGTTCTGCTTCTTGGATTGCTTCCAACCACGTGAAGAAACCAACAAGAGCTTCAAAGCCATTGCCATTAGAACCGAACTCATCACCAAAGTCAAGGTTCAAATCCATCTCTTCACCCACAAAAGTATTGTACTCTGACAGCCGAGGATGGTTCTTTATTCCCTCGGCTTTCTTACCAAGTTGTATGTCGTCAAGCTTAGACGACTTGCATCGCACCTGGTCTTCAATTTCCTCAAGCCTGACATCAGAGATAAAGACATGATTGTCAGAAGTATGCTCTTGTTGCTTCACTTGGCTGAGTCGAAGCAAGTCCATGAGCACCTTGGAACGGAACTTGAACGTTGTGCTCTGATCTGATGGCAAGACCTTCTGCATCAGCTTGAGGGACTCTTCCCAGTGAGCTGTGAAGTCCAACACAAGGCCTTGGTGACTAAGGTTCAAACCATATAAAACCATATATATATATAACAAATAGCGTTCAGTTGTGAGTTACCAAACCACAAATAGAACAAACGGTTATCAACACAGCCTGTCCAATTCCATTCAAGTGACGATTTGGCTGCAATGTTCTCACTGCAGGCATAAAGGGATAGGATACAAGCACTGCATCACCAATGCCCAGACTGGCCTCAATCATGAAAAAGACCGGAGGTACTACAAAGACATCTCCTTGTTGCAGAAGAACGTAGAAGCCTTCCTCCATAATGGTTTCCAGAGAGCATTCTTTCCTCAGCCAACTTGCCAAATCCACAGTTGTGGAGACGTCCTTGTTGTTGGCCTTTTGGAAACATGAAAAGGCCTTGTCAATTGGAATCCCAGCAATGAAACGGCAGCCACTGATGCAATGAATAACCCGTCCAGTCAGCATATCATAGGTGCCGCAGAAGAATGAGTGAGTCTCATAAAGATGCAGCACAACTGAGCGAAGTGCCTTCAGCACTTGAGCTTGAGCTGGCTCAGGGAACATACTTGCAACTTGATAGGTGCTTGAAGCCAAAGCATCAAGCAAAGACATCATCTCATTCAACCCATCATTGTTCTTGTACCCGAAAACAAACTCTGACAGTGTACCCTTGTCAGGAGTCATCATAGCAGCCCTGGTAGTTGTTTGCTGCAAGCGCTCCTTCAATGGTCCAAGCCATGGTGGTCCTTTCTGAGCACAATCTGAGGCCGCAGAGGCATTGTCGTCATTTGCAACCAACAGCACTGGGATCAGGTTGAGTGCTGATTCCAGAACCTCATTTGCAGTGAGTTTGTCATGATCATCACAGGAAGCCGTGCCAGCAGTTGGAAGGAAGTGTGTTGTGACCAGTGCACTGGCAATTCCTCGATCCAAACCTCCAGAAATTGCAATATCACTGGAGATGCCCTTCAATTGAAGAAAATGAGCAATGGACTCACACATGTGGGTAGAACAGCCATTGACTTCTGGCAACACTTCCTTTGGCTCATTGTTCCCACCACCAACAGCTTCAGTGGCCATATTGCTGGCTGCAGCTTGCTTTGCCTGCTCGGCAAGCTTGGCTTGATGTTGCATCTCTGCATTCTTCCGTGCTTTGTCTTCTGCTGCTTTCCGTTCTTCGTATTCTTTGTTGATTTGCTTGGATAGCCTTTTGCCAGCAGAGGTGACCATGCTCAGCCGGCCTTTCATGCAAGTCTCATACTTGGTCAAGTCATCGGTTGTGGGAACACAAGCTTCAGATGTTCTTCCTGCGACCTTTGCATATAAAGCCTGTGACGGAGGAGAAAGTTGAATTGCATTCTGTAGTTTTTCTTCTGCACCCTTCTTCACAGGCGATAGCTTCTCACTGTGTTGGTCAAGAATGTGTTGACATCTTGTAGGACCCATCGCGACCAGTTTGATAAGCCACTCCAAGCATGTTTGGGCAAGCCTGTCCACAAAAAAAAGGAACATATTCAGTCCAACATATTCAGTGCGCATTTATATCAAGTTTCCAAGTACAACTCATCCAACAAATCCTGCCTGACTAAGCTTGGATATTCTGTAGCAGCTGCTGCTGACGCACATATTGATTCAATGGTTGTAGAGATAGTGGTCTCCTTGGCCAGACATGAGCTGTCAACTGTATTGTGAAGTATTGTGTTTTTGTCAGGTTTCTGTACACAGATGTTCTGCACATATAGTAAAGCAACTCAGGTCATGTCCCATCGATTCATAGATCGAATGACTCTTCTCTCCAAATCCAACAATGCAAGACGGTCTTTAGCTTCTTGCGATAAGCCGCCGCCACCGCCGTGCTTCGGTTTTGGTTTGTCTTCATGTTCGTTTGTGCTATTGTTTTCTTCCTGCTTTTCAGTGCTATCGGCACGGCGTCTTTTGTTACTACCTCCGGGGCCACCTCCAACACATCCAGCCTCAGAACTAGTTATTACCGCTTGCAACACAACCACCAGTACAAGATCTAACAATGAACACCAACAAAGGCTGAGAGGCCATAAGGCGCACAGGATGTATTACTCACTCAAACCTGACTGATTTGGTATGGTTGAATTATTGCTAACAAGTGACTCGTCCTTTTGCTGAGATTTTATGTGGACCAATATCTGGCAGAGAGCTCATAAACGTTGCGTTCGCAAAGTCGAAAATTCCCGTCTCCACCGCAAGGTCGGCGTCCATGATCAAGCCTTTTTCACAGCTAACAGCTAAGTAGCTAACTGATATTAGGTTCAACTAATGGTTCCATTGTATATAATATGAATTACTCGACTCAAGTGTTGACTATTCATTGGAACCTCTGAAGCACTAAGGTTGAAACGTTTTTTAAGATCCGGCAAAGAATCTTCATCTGCTTTCACAGATTCATGCTGCGAAAGTGTACGATTGTGAGAAATGGACCGGCCACCCTCAATCTGTTGTTGCACCAGCTTGGCAACAGTTGTGCATCCCCTCTCGTCAGTACCTAGGAATACTAAAGGGACCACAGAAAATGAACGTGAATCACAGTACCTTTTGGAACACTAAAGGGAATCACAATACCAATGATTAATAGCCATGCATTGTGTTTTGTCGTTTTCTTGCCAGAGACACTTTTTGGAACAGACTTGTCGTTGAGGACTTCCGACCAATAATCAGATATCTCGTCATCCTTCATGTTCCATCGATCTTTGCACGCCTTTGTGAACCTTGTTGTCAATACCATGTAAACCAACATAATATTCATCAATGCGTTCACAACCATGTCACAAGCTTTAGATTCTAAGACGGTGACGTAGTTCTGATTTGCTGTGGAAACCCAACAACAAAAGATGCCCAGTGACTCGAACTTGTTCAAGTAGGGCACCACTCCCTTTTGCGAAACGTTGTCGTTGATCGTCACCTCAACTTGTGTGACGGCATTAGACACAAGACAACCCACATATAACAATAATATCAGGCCAGCTCGTCAAAACAAATTTCTATGTTCATTGGTGCGCAAATACATAGCTGAGTCCTGGACATCTTCGGAAAGGTTGAGATCTCGTGATTTTCCTCTTCCACCAGTGCCCTTGTTTTGAACAATCATCTTACGTTTTTTCTCAGCATTCATGCTGCCCCATTCCTTTTTGCGACCTCGTTTCTTGTAGTAGTTGAGACAAGCACGTGCACTGTTGTAGCAAAGCTTGCATATTCGGCCAACTCGTCCGGCTGACAGGGTGTCACACATAGGTGTAGTCTCATTGCATTTGGTGCATACAGCCATGTCAGCGTCAGCAAAGTCTTCACCTTTCAGTTGTTCCTCTCCCCTTAGCACATAAATGTATATGGACTTCCAATATCTATACCAGCACCAGCGCCAGAGAGTATATAACTTCTTACTGTTTGAGTACACAAATTGTAGCACACCCACAGGCAGACAAGAAACTCATCAGGCGGAACAGGAGGTTGTGGTTGTGGATCGTCGTCATTCATTGGCGTCAAGCGGACGGAGGCAGCAATTCAAGGCAAGTTCACAAGTTCGCGTCAAATGGAGCTTAGCCAAAATCGGCTTTCAAGAAACATCGAATAGTTTTAGTACCAACATGTAACCTGTACAAAGTGATGAAGCACCAGACTCATACCCTGCACCAAGCAACTAAGAAATAGAACAGACTCTTTGTTTTTCTCTTTCACAAGCTGTGCGCGCCGACACTCCATGCTGTCTATACTAGCAGGAGTCGAAAACTTCGACCACCCAAAGTTGCTATGTCACACGTCCTTGAAGGCACTACCAAAAAGCGCCAAAGCAATTGCCTCTCCAACCTAGGCAAGTGTGTTGCACTACATGGATGTGTTTTCATCAAGTTTCATCCTATTGGTACATTGTGTGTTCACACTCAATCAGCTGATTGTATATGTTGCTTGTTGAATCAAGTAACACTGGGACTAGCCATTGAATTTCCGGCCAACCTGGACATACCATAATCGTTGATGCCTGATTGGTTCCAAACTGATGTGTGCATCTTCTTCGCTGCCCATTCAGCTAGTGGTAGTCCATGAGCCATAAGCAATTCACCACCCCCCTGAGCTGAATCAATGAAAAGACTTGAGATACCAATGACATATATAATGACATTAGAACAAACAAATGAACCTATAACAATGACATATATAATTAAAGATATTGTTCATGCAAGAAGCAGAACAGTCGATTTGCATCCTGGCTCCACAGACATCCACAAGTGCGTGTGAGAGTTGGACATATTGAAGTTCCAACACGAGCTCGTTTGGATGGATTCTGAGATAAGTCAAACACTCGTCCATGAGGAAACAGCTCGAGAAAGGATCGCAATCCTGAGTTTAAATACAACAAGTTGAACTTCCAAGAAACACATACTCAGAAGACTCAAAACAATTATGTGCATTCATCTAGGATTAATCCAACGTGTTTAGTCAAAGAACGTGCTTGAAGTGCTGAAGACAGTTGTTTGTCTTGATCAGTTGTCGATGTAGCAAGATCTGCAACGGTCAGCTTTGGTCCATTGTAGTTGATGTATGCACCAAGCAAACTAGTGAAGTCAGATACCTCCAGGGTCAACCTTAGTAAGAGAGTGGGTGATAATTGTTTGATAATGTGTTGACAAACAATGTCTTTTTCACAAGAAATTTCCACAGAGTTCAGAAAGTGTATATGCAACCAAAGCACTGAACAGTGTTCTCTTTTCGGCAAATCAGATACTTGCGATTCCGAGATATTGGAAACCCTGATCCTGAAACGTCTGGCGACCTGACAAATTCCTGAATCAAGTATAGGCCGTGCAAGCATTCTTCAAGCAAACGTGCTGGAAACTGTAGGACGTTCTCATGAATCATGATGTCGGGTTGGTATTCCAATACCATTCGAAGGAGCAACAAAAGGTACACCATGGTTGGACCAGCCGAATGCTGCGAACTTCCATATGCTGAAAAGTCTGTACATGCGCTTCCAGCTATCAACGTATCGAGAATCACCTGCCCCAATGATTTCTCAGCTTTCTGTTTTGATCCACAGCCGCATTCTCTCGGACATTCCATATTGTGCTTGATGCACCTCAGAACGTGAATCCGAATCAGTTCTATAGTATAGATTCACTTCAAAAAGCTAACAATTTTGCAAACAAAAGTGCTGTTCTTTGGTGTAATCATATCATATTGGTTCAGTGATATAATGAATTGCTAAGCTTTCCACTTGCAGGCCTTCACCAAGGCATATTTAGGATCAAGTATGGTCTTCTTCAGCTCGCTGAATGTCTGCCTGACATGTCAATGTCACAAAGCTATGACTGTGTTTTTGCCATACAAGTTTGCCATACAGGTTTGCCATACAGCAGTTTGCCATACACAGTAGTTTGCCATACGTATGGCAAACTTTTTGCAGGGTGTATGGCAAAGGTATGGCAAACTTGCCTATGTATGGCAAACAATGTGTATGGCAAACTTGTATGGCAAACATTTTGTCATACATGCTCTACACAAGCAATGTGCCTCCTCAAGAACAAAAATATCTTGGTGGCATAAGAATCAGCGGAATCTAGAAGAGCTTGCATTGCATCCTTTGCACTCTTAGTGTTTGCCACATTGAGTGCATCCATTGCACTCTGCAAGGTGGGTAGAGACTAGCAGCAACCTGAAGCACACACTGATAGACATGATACATAGGAGTATATAATTTGTTGCTGTCAAACCTAAACCATCAAAAAACAAGAACACAAAACGCACCACACATTGTTGTTAGTTCACAGCCGAATAGCTTCGCTCACAAGTATGTAGTCTTTCAGCGCTGTACCCAGACCACGTGCTTTCAAGACTCCACCAAACTCTGTAGGATGTGAAGGTTTTTTTTTGGACTTCTTGAACAACCCGTGAACATTCCATGTAGGTCGTTGTTCATCCCCCTCTGACCCAGAACCTATCATCCGTCCCATATACTCAGAGCTTCCAACTGCTTTCAGCACATCTGCTTTGGAAATGAGAATCTGTACCGGCACAAGCCGTTCAACACGGTCCTTCATTGAAGGACTCATCACATGCCCAATGTCAGAGAAGATGTGCGTGTCACCTGAAAGATTGTTCGACAAGGCCAACTGAGGAACCTTGTCCCAATCGGCTGCAGAAACAAACTCAGAAGTGATCTTGTTGTGAGACACTCCTGACAAAGCCTGCATTGCAAACTCCGCTGTGCCTGCACCGCTAAACTCTGTATGAAGCCGGACATGTATGTTTGGGTGTTGTTGCACACCGCAAAGGATGCAGTTCATCAGCCGAGTTGGCCAATCGAACGCCAATGACAAATTGCATTCCTTCTCAAACTCCACAACAGGTGTTTTCTGGGACAACTTCTCTTCCTCTTTCTCCAAAGCAGACTGTTTTGGCTCTGGCCTTTTTTTGGCACA